AAAAAAAAAAAAAAACTATATAGCTATCAAATGTGCCTAAGATAAGAAAATAAAATAATCAGAATTGTTTCAGTATTATCAAAGTCAAAACAAGCACAGTTAAGAACCTTGTCTTTGACTAGACCATCAGATGTGAAAACCCCTGCATCTTCGAGTGCCAAAAGAACTCTTTTCTGCATAAATAGTTTATGTCTTAAAATAAAAACGAATAACATATGAGATCAGCAAGAAGAGAAACAACAAGAAAAAAATAAAGTATCAAGAACATATGAGTCTTAAGAAAGCATGTTTCTATGAAATGTCAAAAACAGGAAACACAGTCAACCCCACCCAGCCAACACCACAGAACAAGAATGTTGGCATTAGCAACGCTGGCGTGTGCTAGATAATGGGCAAGTAGCCTATACACATAACTCAATAACCGGGGTGGACTTAGGATGGCCAATGGCATTGATTAATGCATGCACGCACAGTAGTAGGGGTCTACGGTTCACAACTTGAAATGAAATAGACAGTGTGCATAGCATGAGTACGTATTAAGCAAGGGAAGGAGGTTTAGCGAGTGAAAGAAAGGATGTTTCAGAAAGCAGAATCCCTAGCAAGGAGCAGCATGTGTGGTAAGCGTGTACAGAAAGTGTAGTGCACAAACATAGCACGCTGGTGAGCAAAATGCACATACACGACCGGACGCTCGAACAAAGTGGTTTGATTTTTTTAAGTTCCCATGTTCAAGAAGTATTCAGTTGGTTTCTAACAATATTGATTATAACAGATCGACCAGTCTGATTAATCTTTCAACCTCTGATTTACGCGAGTGGAGGGAAAAAAAAAAAAAAAAAAAAAAAAAAAAAACAAAAAGGATGAAAAAAAATCTGAACCACTCGATCTTAAAGAAAATAATATATCTTGACCGCACGATAACGAATCGCAAACATTTCCGACTAGTAAAAGGTAGCGGTTCGCATATAAACCGTTCGCCGTTCGCCGGACTAATCGCGACCGGTTTTCTTCGATGGCGTTCTCTTCGATTACCATGAAATGCCCCCCTGTTCTTCACCTGCGAGCCCTTCCTAAAAGCTCTGCACCTCAGAGTTCAATTTCCTTTCGATATTCACCTACGAAATTCAGCCGGAGAAAAACCTTATCGATTCGATCGGTTTCAGTCCCGGGTACGCCTCTTTATTTTTTCCCGCCGCTTTCCTCCTTGATTTTTGGGTATTATATTTGACTGTATCACCGTAGTTCATCGTTGTACTGTTTGGGGGAAAATTAATCAGGAATCTGTTTCTTTTGGATTGGAACTATGAACTTGGGAAGAACGTCAGNTTAGAATGTCAGAAAAGTAAACGTGAGTGGGAAGAGATTTTGTCTTCAAGGTGAAGCACAATAATCGTTCGAATCATACCAAAGCTAACATCAGAAATCATATAAGTTTACCAAGATATTATGTAGGAATTAAGAAAAATCATAAAATTCCATAAAGCATTGCACTTACTTCGCTCTCATCATCCAGCACTGTTTCCATGAGATAAAGATCACAATATTTTGTTATCTCCAACAGTACTTCCAACACTGAGGACCTCACAGTGGCTTGTTTCTGATGCAAAACAAAGTAAACGAAATTAGATATTCCCAAAAGCAGTTTCAAGCACAAAATTTGTTAAGAGGAAAAGGCTAAATACCTGTAGATCCTCTGGACTGTTTTCCTCGAGAATTATTCCAAGCAAACGACATGTTACCTAGAGATGGAACATTTTCAGTACCAAAACTGACTCTTTCTTGCCTTATATAAGCTTCATAGAATTTCATATATTGATATTTCACCAAAATTCCACATAACAAGGTAAAACTTCTGAGAAGATAAAGATGAATAACAAAGGTGGATATTGGTTACCTTTCTTCCGTCACTCAATTTTTGCCTCACTATTTGGCCCAGAGTTGGCTACATGGAAAGGTATGAGAGGAAATCTTAAACACGTGTCATGTGAATGGAACAAAATTAAAAAGGTATGAGAAGATATAGGCCATAATTTGAGCTCTAACCTTGACCGGCTGAAAGAATTCATCAACAACGTTGTGCGCTCTTAAGTCCCCTGAAGATGAACAAACTCCAGAAGATATCAATTGTTCACTTGAATTTAACCCAACATTAGAAGTAGAACTACTTGCTGCAGGCGTTTGCCTTTTTGGTTGTCGCCTCTGATGTCCATTAGATGATCCCAACAGCTTCCATGTGAAAATTATTGCAACAGCAACTCCAGCAATAGCCCCAACAGACCGTGAATCCTGATAAAATTTCAAGACTTAGTCAGACACCAAATTACCCTTTTCCCTTATTTGTTGATTAGTATCAAAGGAGAAACAACATAATGTTCTATCAGACAAATCAGAAACGGTCAACACAATAAACATTTACGTTATTTAAGCCAAAACAGAAAATGAACTGAGCTATCGATTTCTATTTAAATTTGAACCAAGCAAGACCAAAAGGCACAAAAACTGAAGCACTTTCCAAACACCCAAACAAAAAGGACCATCAATATTTGAAACAAACTAGACCAGCAAAAGGACTGATTTGGCTCAGACCTTAAGTTTATCTATTTTTTGGATATTATGAACCCAATGAAAAAAAAAAAAATTTAATTTCCTAACACAGCTCTATTTCTCAGTCCCTAAAAGATCCAAAGACTAGAGTCCATTAAGAAGATCAAAAGAATCTTCAACATTCTTTTCCTTTTTTCTTTCTGTTTCTCCCAAAGGACTCTGCAATGACCCGACTTTCTATATATGCATCGGTCAATGCCATTACTAAAAACTGGCAATTTTATAAGTTAAAATCAATTAAAAGATTCCAAAAATAGATAAGTGAAAACGTGCTCGGGGAACCCCTTTAAAATAACTTTAGAATGTATGAAGTTTAACCAAAATAATTCAAAAATTCTAATAGCAATTGAAAGGCACCATAGTTTCAATCTCCCTAGTTCTCATAAACTAGGAAACTAGGAGTCCTTCAACTACAAATCAAACCAATGAAATAATTCCTGGGTTCATAACAAGTGGTATCAGAGTCATGTCCTTAACTTAACCATGACGGTAAAATCCTCGAGAGTCCAACAAAAAAAATCATGGATCTCGAATGGTCATAGTAGAGATCTGTGGTAAAGCTCAATCAAAGAGGTGAGATGGAGCTCGCCTGTTTAAGTGTTAGATGGATAGATGATCTATTTGAGGAGAGAATCGGTGGTACATTATCTAAAGCGAGGATTGTTGAGGCAGGGAGGTACTTTGTTCGAAGGGAGGATTGTGGGTGTGACCAAAATCCCACATTACATTAGCTAAATAAGGAGAAGATCGTGAGTATATAAGTGAGGGACATTATCTCCATAGGTATAAGGTCTTTTGGGAAAACCTAAAATAAAGTCATGAGAACGTATGCTCAAAATAAACGATAACAGATCATTGTGGAGGTCTCTTGTCCATAACAAGTGGTATCTATCAAATGCTTTATTGCTGACCTATTCTTTGTCTGGGACAAAGATTTGGGATTAACGATTGGCATGGACCTAAATCTCATAATTGAACACAATATACCATCCTCGAAGCGTAAGTACTGCAGAATAAAAACAATAGTAACTAATTTGGTAAAGCATACAACAGCTTCGCCAGGTCTAATAGAATCTAGGCCAAATATGACGAACGGACCTCGTAGCACAAAGCTCCAATTCGAAAGAGAAGTCTTTCCGCATCATTTGTCAGCGTGGTGAATTGTTGAATATCAAATACAAAATCGAAGAAGATAAAGTATTAACCGTTGTAATTGAAGCATATAATTCATAAGAAAAAAAAAACAATCCACAGCTCGAATGTTGAAAAAATAACAGAATACACATAGAAAAAAAAAAAAAAAAAAAAAGCCGAAAACAAAATTGGGTGATCAAAATATATCAAACATCCAGCGTGAAAAAACTCACTAGCAGCAACCTAAAGCCGGTCAGATCCATCAAAAAAACGAACAAAAGAAGAAAACAGGGTTAGAGATTAGAACCAGATTCTGGGTAGAGATCGGGAAAAAATCAGACATCTTGACAGTGAGATAAGCCCCGAGGCGCTTGATCAGCTGGAGTAAGTCGTCTTTGGAAGAACTTTCAGCCATTGGAGAACTCAAAGACGACCTCGCCTATGAATCTTCTCGTGATTCGAATATCCAATAATACAACCTGCAAATTGGCGCGGAGCAGAAGGAAGCGAACAGAACTCGGGAATTTTAGTGCGGAAAATCGAAGTGGAATTGTTGATGCAGTAGAGAGATTTGGAAGAATTGCAGAAGAAATTGCGTCAACGGTGGATACAAGTCCTGAATTATTAACGCCTCGATTTTTCGACTTTTAGTTCCCTATTTTTCCCCGTCGCCCCGCGGAGGAAGAGAGAGGACACGGTGAGCCCGGCAAACGGCACCTCCTCCGTACCATTCATGGGCTTTCCGATACTGGGCTTGCTTAATACGAAATCTTACACCAAAATAATAATAATAATAACTAGAATATATAATATTAAAAATAAATATATTTTTTAAATTTTACCTCCAATCGACTTTTTCTGGACTTTTATAAAATTTTAAATTAATTTTATTTTATTCACTTTTAAATTTTCTAAATTTTGATAACGTGAAATTCTCTATTATTTAATTTTAAATATCAATATTGTATTCTATAATATTATTTAGTTAATTAATTAAGTATATTTATCTCGATAAAATTGTTAGTATATACTCATATTAATCCATACTGACAAAATTGATTCAGAGTGTTTAATAAAAAAAACTATACATTACAACATATTGAAGTAGCTGAATTAGTGGATTACTAAGGTGGCGAAGAGGAAGCCAGAGTGTCGTCCACAGAAATTTCCGACACGTCGTCCAAGCTATTGGTAGCCATTAATGGTCTTTCAATCCTCTGCAGCTCTCCATTACCATTCAACAACATCTCTTTCTCCAAGTGCAAGCAATAGGTTTCGAAAGCCCTGGAGCTAACCGTCACTCCAAAATCCAATAGAAAAAGCAGCTCTAACTCGAGCTTGTTCAACTCCACTTTATTCACCCCTCCCACCCTCGCGTAAAACGCATTATTGTAATGTCTGCAGTCAAATATGGCATCTGTGGTAAACTGTAACGAAATTCTAAATATTTAAAATTTGGAATTTAGAGACTCACACGTCGTCGAGGATCTTAGAGGCAACCATGACGCTCGTGACAAGAAGCCTATGAATGTTCAAGGAGATGACTAGCGAGTTGGGGTGTCGATGGATTAGCCTATCGATGTAAACGAATCCAACCACGAGGCAAGAAGGGCTACAATTGGTGTATTTGTAGATTCTCTCTAAGTACTTCAATATGGAGATGGCAGGCGCTCGGACTCCATGGAAGGCGTTGAAGCTGTTACCGATATGGCTAGTGCCGCAGCTGCTCGACTCCTCGATCTGGTGAGTGATGCCATCTACGATGCGGTCGTTACGGGCCACTAGCCGATCCAGCACACAGGCTAATATGATGAGCACTCTTGGGGTTGGCTCGGCCACGTTGTCGCCCTCGGCAAGGCCGTTGGCTGGGAAGTCGTTGCCGGTTAGCATTTACAAAGCCACCATATGATCCGGTAGTGGTGAATGGCTCAGAAGTGATGGAACGAGTGAATTGGGATTGGAGGTATTGGAATAATGTTATCGGGCAGGTTTGGACTGGTGACTGACACGTGTACGTACATGCTGGGCTGGCTGAGAAAGCAATAGGACATGGGTCCACCGGCCAAACTGTTTGAATGTGTAGATAAAGTGATATGGATTTTCTCCGAACATCATCAGCCATTCGTGTAGCTGGTGGCTGTGGCTTTCTTGTTTGTAATTGAAATTTGGGATCCCATTCCACTTTGGTACATTCGAATATGCGCCCAAGTCTAATCTAACCCTTTGGCCTCAGCACGAGACAAAGGTCGATTCATTGGTCGACTCTTATAAACAAGAAATAATGGATACAATAACTTATGAAAAACGATATATCATACGTCATAACAGCCCATATTATTAAAAGTCGTAAACTTTTTATAACATTGTTTTTTACCGCTATAATGAATGTTATAATAGAATATTTTATATTATTTATAAAATATAAATGATGTGACTGAAGAGGATGGGATGAATTTTATGCGAGATTTAATTTTGATAATAGATTTGATTATTTTAGTTGTAATTTAATATTATCAATTATATTAAAAATTTAAGATTATTGGTGTGATCTTGAACAATTTATCGAGGAGAATCACGTTCAAGAAATAACCTAAATTCGTTAATTGAGAAGATTAATATTTCATAATACAATCGTATATTAAATACGTTAAATACAAAAAAGAAATAAATATATTTAATTTAAAGTATATAAATTAATATTTAATATATCAGATATATTAAATAAGAAAGAGATAAATTTACGACAAAGTTTCTATCACGTTTACATGCTTTATTTTAATTTTTAATCAAATTAAATTAAGATCTAAAGCTTTTTGCAAAGGAATAATCCATTCAAACAAGATTGTAAAGCAACTGTGTAAACAAAACTATAAGCAACAATATGGTTATAAATAAGCTTAATATGGCCAAAGGGTGTACTTCCTTTTTTGTGCCATACAAATACGTTCATTAAATCATACAAAATTTGTAAACAAGTCTGTCACTAACGGATATTGTTCACTTTAATCCATATCACCCTAGTCTAGTGATTTTTAAAAACATGGGATCTTATAATCCACCATTTGGGCAGGGCACAACGTCCTCACGGCCACACCGTCCATTATCTAGCTTCGATATCATTTGTAACAACTCAAGCCCACCACTAGTCAATATTGTTCGTTTTTGCCTCTTACCTATGGCCATCAGTCTCACAATATTAAAATTGTCTCCACACCCTTATAAGAAATTCATTGTACTCTGCACAAATTTTAAAATTATGAGGCTGACAACAACGATACATAACGAGTCAAAACGAACAATGTCTAGGTAGGTTTGAGCGGTTACAAAATTCATTTTGGTTCGTTTTTATTGAAAATTATAATATTTTATAGATTATACGTATTACATTTTATTTGATTAAAGCTTTTTAATTATTTTTTTCATCCCAGAAATATGAATGAAGGCATATTTTCCGTTGGAAGAATACAACCATAAAGCCGAATTCCCGCCACGAGCTTAAATTCGGTAAAGCCAAGGAATTAAAAAATAAAAAAATAAAAAAATAAAAAAATAATGAAAAATAATATAAAAAAAAATTATTATTCAATGATTCAAACGGAAGAGGAGTTAATTATGGAAACTCTGTGCGACTTCTGTGGAATGATGATAGCGGTTGTTTACTGTAAATCCGATTGTGCCCGTCTTTGTTTCACCTGCGATGGCTTCGTCCACTCCGCTAATTCTCTATCACGACGACATATTCGCTCAGTGCTGTGAGATAAGTGCAACGCTCTCACCCCGCCATTGCCTGCTGTATGAATCATAAATGTCCGCTCTGTCAGGCCTATGGATGGAACTGCGACCTTTGTTCCTCCATGGGTCCCCCTATTCAGGATCTTCCTTCCTACTCTCCTTGCCCTTCCATCCCTGAGTTTTCACGAATTTGGTCTTCCGTTCTCGACGTCTCTTCCGATGCTCCTTCTCACTGGCCCACCCCCTCCTCCATCAATGCCGATTCCATTTCTTTCTCCGATGTTGATTCTCCTCAATTGCTCCCTGCTAAGTTCAATGACTGCTCTAAGTTTGACCCCTGGATCGCTGCTCCTGCTTCTTCCTTCACTCTGAATCCTTCTTATCACTTGCCTTTGTCCAGACCTCAACCCTCATTTCTCTCCGACGACTCCAATCTTCCCAAGGTAGGGTTTCTTAATTTTGTTTCATCTCTTGCCGATCTGATTAGATCCAAATGTGCATATGATTCTGCGATGTGTTTACTCTTGTAGGGTTGTTCCGATTTGAAGGATGTTGAAACTCATGAGAACAATGATATTTGCGAGGGTCTCAATCTTGGCGATGCTTCACTCAACTTGGAAACTGAGGAAGAGCTGTTTGGCTGTTCGCAAGGTACGATGAAATGCCATTTTGGAGCTGGAGAATTGGAATGTTTTCTAATGGGGAAAAACTTGTCTACTGAATCTAATGGCCCTGTTGAGAATACTGTTGAGAATCCTGTTGAGGTATGTATGTATGTATGTATGTATGTATGTCTGTATGATATCAATGTTTGGCACATAATCTGGCTCCATCGCATCTAAAACATTCAACTCTGCTCTCTTGGTTGTGCTAAGCATTCGTTTTAATTTAGGATTCATTATCTGGGCAACAAGATTTTTTGGGATTTCAATCATCTCAAGTCGGTCTTTCCATGAACACGATTCAAAATGGGAATTCAAATTGTATGGTTATGAATCCTAGTTGCAATGGAAACCTCAACATTGGATTTCCTACTACTGCTCAGGTTCATTCAACCATATCACTTTCACTCTCAAATATCACTGGCGAAAGCAGTGGTACAGATTATCAAGACTGCGGTTTATCACCGGGGTTTTTGGGAGAAACGTCATGGGACCCTAGCATGGAAGCTATTGTTCCACAAGTAAAGGATCGGAACAGGGATAAAGCCAAGATGAGATACAATGAAAAGAAGAAAACAAGAACGTAGGTATCTTCTTTTTTAATTTTCTCATTTTTTTTTGGCATGAATTAGCCTTGCTCGTCTAATTACCATCGTTTTCATTCATCTCTTTAGATAGCATGTTTAGAAGGGTATCTTCATGCATCATCGTGGCTTCTTCCGTTGAGATAAAGATTCTGAATTGTGACAAAGAGAGGTACCTCTTTTGATGATCTTTGCACCTCCTTTATGTTCAGATTTGGAAAGCAAATACGATACGCATCTCGAAAAGCCAGAGCTGATACGAGAAAAAGGGTTAAAGGCCGATTCGTGAAAGCAGGGGAAGCCTATGACTATGATCCTCTCGTGACAAGAAACTTCGAGCCATGACCCATGAACACATCTCAAGGTCTCGTTCCCAAAACGGAAGGCATATAGAACAAGGTATGTTTTTCTGCTCAGTACATCATGAAATTCATGTCCTGGAATTTGAATCTCAATGGGTCTCGAACATTTCTGTAGAGGTAAGATCTGTCCATTTGGTACAATCGTAAAATCAATTACCATAGTCCCACCTTCACTAATTAACAGAAAGATCACCTTCACGTGAAGAGGAAGATCATGAATTTATATAAGTACAGAACATTATTTTCGTTGGTATGAGTTATATGAGAGCTTATGCTCAAAGTGGAGTACGAGTCATATGAGAGCTTATGCTCAAAGTGGACGATATCTTACCATTCTCGCAAATCTTCCTTCTCTTCATTTTAGAGGTAAACTAATGAATAGAAAGTAATTAAAACGAGTGGCTGATCATGCAGTGTCCACTATACGAACAGCATATTTGAATATGAGTGATTTAACAACCATTAACGATGTGTTATGGCTGATAGGTTGTAAATAAAGATGTAGCTATAGCCAGTACAAGCTTCGTAAGCGGCAGACTGTCAGCAATCACTGTCCATAACAGAGGAGTGGTTCTAAATTGCCCGGAAGAGGTTGGGTTATTTTTGTGCTCAAATTGGTTGGTTCTTCGTTTGTTTAACAAGATTTTTGTGTTTCCTCTTGATTTGTACAGTAGCAATGGTGAAATATATCCAGTTAGTAAGAGAAAACAGGTGATGAAGACCTTCGTGGGACAACCTTAGTCCATGTGTTTTAGCCTCTTTCCTTTCCACCCACGAAATCATTGCTTATTAGGCAGAGCTACAACTTTTTTTTTTTTTTTTTTTTTTTTTTTTTTTTTTTTTTTTTTTTTTTTTTTTTTTTTTTTTT